AAGCTGGCAGGGGTCAGGGGGACACAGAGGAGATGTCAGCAAAGGAAAACGAGCTGTAGGCTCTCCCGTGGTGATCTGCTGGGGATGCTGCATCATAGAATCAAAAAATGGTTTGGATTGGAAGGGATCTTAAAGATCATCTAGTTCCAGCCTCCCTGCCATGGGCAGGGACACCTTCCACTACACCAGGTTGCTCAAAATCTCATCCAACCTGGCCTTGAACACTTCCAGGGATGGGGCATCCACAACTCCTCTGGACAACCTGTTCCAGTGCCTCACCACCCTCAGTGTAAAAAATTTCCTCCTTAGATCTAATTGAAACCTCCCCTCTTTCAGTTTAAAGCCATTACCCCTTGTCCTATCACTACATGCCCATGGTCCACCACCCCTCCTGCCAGAGCAGGGCACTGCCCCATGGGCGAGCACAACGTTTAACGAGCCCCAGAAACTACGTCGTTGAATTCTCTTTTAATCTCCAGCTTGCACCTTCACCTCTCCCCTTTTCATTTGTACTTTGGGGGTTGCTACAATCCTCGTTCCACCTCAGGGCCACCTTTTGCAAGAAAAACCGGTGGAAATAACCCATTCCATCCCCTGGAAATCCATTCCCCATTTTTAACCCATTCATCTGCCAAAGAGCCTGTAAGGAGATAAGAATAAGTTACAAGCACTTGGAAGCAAGAAAGGACTAAGCATCCCAGCTGGATGAGTGGAGGACAAGCAGTGCTGCTGGTAGCATTGCCTCATCAGGGAATTTGTTCCAAAAATTCACCTGCTGCTCACAGCCTCATTAGTGCAGGCAGCGCAGCGCAAGGAAGGATTTAAGCTGACAGGTTTGTCAGCAATTTTCTTCCAGCGACAGCACTAACACAAACCACCCTTCCAGCCTCAGTGTCCCCCCCCCCGGCCCCCGAACACACAACTCAACACCCCGGGCACGGTTCCACCCAGCCACCAGGTCATTTCTCCAGATTATTAGCGTCATTATTATTTTTACCCCAAAGAAAATATACAGCATAAAGGAAAAGGAACAAGATTATTTTTTAGCCACTTACTCTCTGCCAATTTCAGTATAAATATTTAGAAACATTCCTCCTACCAGATAACCCGCTGCAGGCCCAAGGATTGCAGCAGTGTAGAAAACAGCTGGAAGGGAAAACAACCAGGTTAGACAGAGCGCAGCGACTCAGGCTGGGATGCTGTGGGATCTGGTGGTACCCAGCACCCCCTGCCTCACCACAGCCCCGTTCCCTCCCGGATTGGGGATGCTCAGCCTCCTGCCGCCTTGTGCCCTCTCCCTGTGGCACCGAGGAACGAAGCCAGCCAGGCTTTGACAAGTTTCCATCTCACATTTACATCCCAGGGAAACTTTTGCATCCAACCTAGGCATCTTCATAGCACAGGGCAGGCAAAATTGGTTCAATGGAAAAACAAATGTATGTAGTTACTGTTCTATTGTTTCACAGGGATGTTGCTGACCCCGCTGCCACATCCCGACTGCCGGCGCGACGAGCAGCAGCGTTGTCCCCCCACTGACAATACCCAGCGTCTATGCTAAACGTGGTACCACTGGCACGCATTCCAGTTTGCTGCTTCAACTTACTGACAGTCTCCTTGGGATCTCCCCCTCTCCCTGTGCAGCCTTTCGATACAGCAGCACAGGCAGACTGCTAAATTTTGAAATTGCTAAAAGCTTTCAGCAATTTCACCCGACAGGACTGTAAGTATTTGGCAATTGCTGAGTGATCAGCGACAGAGAGCAGAGGCGTGAGCTGTGCCTCTTCCCTGGGTGCAGCCCGGCTGTGCTGGCACCAGCAGCACCCGAGCAGCCCTGAGACCGTCCCCGTTGTGCTACGGCACTGAAGGGGTGACGTCCCCTCGCATAGATGGGGTACGGCCTTACGGTTGCTGATGCCACCAGCATGCTGGAGGGCTCTCCCCGTCCCAGGTACGGGAGGCACCTCCTAATCCACAGGGCACAGGGCACATGCCACAAGAGTGAAAACACCCAGTGGCACTTACAGTTCCTGCCAGTAAATAATCCAAACCTCCCCAACAGCTGCCACTTCCCTCCCATCACCACCTCACACGTCATCGGGAACAAAAGACCGGGAGCATCGCTCCCGAAATGGCTCAACGTGGCCTGTTCGATGCCAAGGCAGAGGGATGGGCTCCCCCTCCCATCGCCCAGCCTGTCCCTTTGAGCTGCCCCTCGGGCTCGACTCACCAATGTACACGGGGGAGTAGCTGGTCTTGACGTTTTCATCTAAATAGGTGACGCCGAGCGTGTAGAGCGGCGTGGCTCCCATCCCGTGCAGGAACTGGCCCAGCATGAAGACGAATCTGTAGCTGGAGAGGCTGGAGGCCGCCTGGGTACAGGGCAGGCTCTGGTTGCCCCCACAGATGCCCACCTCCGCTGCCGAGCGCACCTCGTACCGTCCCGTGGTGAAGTGGGGCAAGGCGAAGAGCAGGGAACCCAAACCCATGACCAGTACACCCCAACCCAGCCACCGCGGCTTGTGGCCGTTGCCCCCGAAATAGCTGACGAAGGTCAAGCAGACGCACGCTGCGATGTCGTAGGAGCTGGCGATCAGCCCGCTCTGGTAGCTGCGGAGGTCGAAGCGTCGCTCGATGGAGGTGATGACCGTGTTGATGAAGCCGTTCACCGTCATGCCTTGCAGGAAGGAGGCCACGCAGAGGAAGAACAAGACGCCCTTGGATGTGTTAAAGAGCTGTAAGCACCCGGGGGTGACCCCCCCCCAGCCGCACACCAGTTCCTCCCTGTTGGCTGACACGTATTTAATCCCTTCGTTGAACTGGGTCTCCTCCTCTCCGGGCGTGGGGGAGCAGAGGGGCTCAGCGCACGAGTCGGAGGGGCTGGGCACACCAGAGGATGCCGTGCCGTTGCTCAGCGGGGTCCTGCCCGCCCCCCGCCCACTTGGGGCCTCAAAGGTCCGGCCAGTCTCACCGGGAGGAGGAGATGAGCAGGAGAAGTCAAGCGTCTGAGCGAAACAAAAGCCATTTTCTGTGGTTGAATTCCGGGGCATTGCCATGAACGGGAACACAGAGTCAAGTGGCAGG